ATTAACACCTGACTATTAACACAATCACAGACAGTGTAGATTTCATCGTCGCCACCAACACAGTCTTAGATAACGTAAGAGTCTCGTGGCTAGCAAAATAAAAATCTTACGCAGGGGTTTGGGTCTTTTTTGTGTGTGTACAGTTGGAGTCTAAGACTAAAAGCTGTTATTCTACCTCAGCTGGTTTAAAAGTTTAGCCCACTCATGGTATACTTTTACCCCTTAGTACGCGCCCCACAACAGTCGACTCACACCCAGGTAGGTACTTCTAGGTGACCACGGCCAACAAGTGTAAGGAAACATGCCCCCCGTTTCTATCCGTGCCGGGGGTCGGGAAACCTGAATCCTTAGTATGTGAGCTGAGTGCTCTGCCAACTGAGCTACTTATGCAAAGCAATTTATTCCACCATGAGTGAACATCCCCCCATGAAGACATACATTGCAGCCACTAATGGTGTGGGGAGTGTTGCAGGTGGGGTGATGGTGGTGAGCTGGGGGGTTGGCCAAGGACGTTGCTTCCTGTGGACGACGGCCTTGATCCTTAGAACAATGTGGGATGGGAAGAACAGTATCTTCGTCAGATCATATGGCGAGCTCAGGACCTCTCGAAGCTGACGACCCGGCACTCCTTAGATCCTGAGGGAGAGGTGAGTGTTAGGTCATGGACGGGCGGAGGGAAAATGAAAGGTAGGAATTTTTTGTTTGTTTTTGAAGCTGCTGCCTTTCTATGTGATCGCTACTTAGTGGGAAAAAAAGTAGTGTTGCTGCACAGTTCTGGGCACCATATTACAGAATTGGATATAAATGCTCTGGAAAACGTACAAAGAAGGGTGACAAAAGCTGATCCCAATGAATTAGAAATCTCCCTATAGGATTTGACTGAGGGCGCTGAATCTGCACTCTAGAAAGGCGTTTGAATTAGGGGATATGATTGAGGTGTATAAATGGAAAACAGGAATAAATAAAGGGGATGTAAATAGCGTGATAAAAATATTTAGCCCCAGACAGGACTCGCAGGGAATGGTTTTTAAGTTGGAAAAACACCCGTAGTATGCTGCCTAAAACTATTCTGTAGGATGGTGCCGCAGTGGGAAACACTCAAAGTTTACGGCACGGCTTAACTAAACTATTTCTTTTGTGGAACACATTCCGTGTACGGCTCACTATTCTTATAAGAGTTTTTCATAGTGGGAACACCCACGGGTACTGCACAGTGTTCATATGATCGTCACCTCTTGAGAGAAAAAAAAAGGTGCTGCTACAGTAGTTTGCATGCCCAGTTTCACGCAGCAACACTCGCTGTTCTCATCGTGGTAACACACACAGTGTCCCGCTACGATTTTTGCATTGTGTTATACTCCATCACACAGGATGTATGAGTTAGTGAAAACCTGTCAGTCTGAGTGAGAGACTTCTTTTAGTGTCAGTCTGAGCTGAGGGGACTTTCTGTAGTGTCTTTGAGCTGGGGAGACTTCTGTAGTGTCAGTCTGGAGCTGGGGGGAGACTTCTGTAGTTGTCAGTCTGGCTGAGAGACTTCTGTAGTGTCAGTTGAGCTGAGAGACTTCTGTATGTCAGTCTGACCCTGAGAGACTTCCGTATTGTCAGTCTGAGCTGAAGACTTCTGTAGTGTCAGTCTGAGCTGAGAGACTTCTGTAGTGTCAGTCTGAGCTGAGAGACTTCTGTAGTGTCAGTCTGAGCTGAGAGACTTCTGTAGTGTCAGTCTGAGCTGAGAGACTTCTGTAGTGTCAGTCTGAGCTGAGAGACTTCCGTAGTGTCAGTCTGAGCTGAGAGACTTCTGTAGTGTCAGTCGAGCTGAGAGACTTCTGTAGTGTCCAGTCTGAGCTAGAGACTTCTGTAGTGTCAGTCTGACGGGGAGACTTCAGTAGTGTGGTCTGAGCTGAGAGACTTCAGTAGTGTCGGTCTGAGCTGGGAGACTTCAGTAGTATCGGTCTGAGCTGGGAGACTTCAGTAGTGTCGGTCTAAGCTGGGAGACTTCAGTAGTATCGGTCTAAGCTGGGAGACTTCAGTAGTATCGGTCTAAGCTGGGAGACTTCAGTAGTATCGGTCTAAGCTGGGAGACTTCAGTAGTATCGGTCTAAGCTGGGAGACTTCAGTAGTATCGGTCTAAGCTGGGAGACTTCAGTAGTATCGGTCTAAGCTGGGAGACTTCAGTAGTGTCGGCCTAAGCTGGGAGACTTCAGTAGTATCGGTCTAAGCTGGGAGACTTCAGTAGTATCGGTCTGAGCTGGGAGACTTCAGTAGTGTCGGCCTAAGCTGGGAGACTTCAGTAGTATCGGTCTGAGCTGGGAGACTTCAGTAGTATCGGTTAAGCTGGGAGACTTCAGTAGTGTCGGCCTAAGCTGGGAGATTTCAGTAGTATCGGTCTGAGCTGGGAGACTTCAGTAGTATCGGTCTAAGCTGGGAGACTTCAGTAGTGTCGGCCTAAGCTGGGAGACTTCAGTAGTATCGGTCTGAGCTGGGAGACTTCAGTAGTATCGGTCTAAGCTGGGAGACTTCAGTAGTGTCGGCCTGAGCTGGGAGACTTCAGTAGTATCGGTCTGAGCTGGGAGATTTTCAGTAGTATCGGTCTAAGCTGGGAGACTTCAGTAGTGTCGGCCTAAGCTGGGAGACTTCAGTAGTATCGGTCTGAGCTGGGAGACTTCAGTAGTATCGGTCTAAGCTGGGAGACTTCAGTAGTGTCGGCCTGAGCTGGGAGACTTCAGTAGTATCGGTCTAAGCTGGGAGACTTCAGTAGTGTCGGCCTAAGCTGGGAGACTTCAGTAGTATCGGTCTAAGCTGGAAGACTTCAGTAGTGTCGGCCTAAGCTGGGAGACTTCAGTAGTATCGGTCTGAGCTGGGAGACTTCAGTAGTATCGGTCTGAGCTGGGAGACTTCAGTAGTATCGGTCTAAGCTGGGAGACTTCAGTAGTATCGGTCTAAGCTGGAAGACTTCAGTAGTGTCGGCCTGAGCTGGGAGACTTCAGTAGTATCGGTCTGAGCTGGGAGACTCATTTAGTATGGGGTCTAAGCTGGAAGACTTCAGTAGAAATCGGTCTGAGCTGGGAGACTTCAGTAGTATAAAGTCTAAGCTGGGAGACTTCAGTAGTATCGGTCTAAGCTGGGAGACTTCAGTAGTATCAGTCTAAGCTGGGAGACTTCAGTAGTATCGGTCTAAGCTGGGAGACTTCAGTAGTATCGGTCTAAGCTGGGAGACTTCAGTAGTGTCGGCCTGAGCTGGGAGACTTCAGTAGTATCGGTCTGAGCTGGGAGACTTCAGTAGTATCGGTCTAAGCTGGGAGACTTCAGTAGTATCGGTCTGAGCTGGGAGACTTCAGTAGTATCGGCCCTGAGCGGGGAAGACTTCAGTAGTATCGGTCTGGCTGGGGAGACTTCAGTAGTGTCGGTCTGAGCTGGGAGACTTCAGTAGTATCGGTCTGAGCTGGGAGACTTCAGTAGTGTCGGCCTGAGCTGGGAGACTTCAGTAGTATCGGTCTAAGCTGGGAGACTTCAGTAGTATCGGTCTAAGCTGGGAGACTTCAGTAGTGTCGGCCTGAGCTGGGAGACTTCAACAGGGCGAGCATGAGCTCATTAAGTATCGCAAGGAACTGAAGGGAAAGAGGTATTGAGAGGCAGAAAAATAGCAGGATCATAAGGGATCAAGGAGAAAACACTGTTATGCTAGATTTATGAGAGACCAATGTAAACAAAATAATAACTGAGGTAACCACAGGTTATAGAATATTTTGTATTTTGGAAACAATGGGTCATCATCTTGCGTGCGCTGTGTCGACATTTTTTGGATTATGAATACGAGGAAGGTATAAATTGGTTTAGAAAAACATGTCAGTAAACGCTAGGACATATTTGTTTTAAAATGTTTTGGTCCTGAGACCTTGATCACTTCTAACATACAGAGGTTACAAAGACAGTATATGTAGGCGGAGAGTGACGTATGGTGACCTGAGTGAGGTGTGAGTGACGTATGGTGACCTGAGTGAGGTGTGAGTGATGCATGGTGACCTGAGTGAGGTGTGAGTGACGTATGGTGACCTGAGTGAGGTGTGAGTGACGTATGGTGGCCTGAGTGAGGTGTGTGTGATGCATGGTGACCTGAGTGAGGTGTGAGTGACGTATGGTGACCTGAGTGAGGTGTGAGTGACGTATGGTGACCTGAGTGAGGTGTGAGTGATGCATGGTGACCTGAGTGAGGTGTGAGTGACGTATGGTGGCTTGAGTGAGGTGTGAGTGACGCATGGTGACCTGAAGAATGCCATATTAGTATGAGGACGGGTAGACAGTGTGATCATGTGACTCCTGTGTTGTTAGGTAGATGGTATCTAATACCAAGGTTTTTACTAAGGTATAAATTACACAGGAGTCAAATGAGAGTAGAAAAATACTAAGTTTACTTTATTAAATAAGATATTTTATTAATAATTTTTACCAGAAGGAGACCATCAGATTTTGGAGCTTTTGAAATGATGGAATAGAAACTCGTACACATAATCCGTGAATTATGAGGTTCACAGAACACTCGTTCGATGATAATCATTGGTTTTCAATGCTGCAATATTTTCTTAATCCCCTGGTTACCCCAGTTATTATTTGATCCACATTATACACTCGTAATTATGAAGATTATAGAGAAACGGCGCAAAATCCAAGATGAATGTGAGCGTCCTCTTCACTAACACATTTGTTGTTTGCAAGTTGTTGCTTGCAATTTGTTGTTTGCAATTTGTGGGTTCACTAGGTTACCCATTGTTTGTTAACTATAATGTTATAATAAATAATGTACTAATTATAGAATGTTGTTATATATGAAAACTGAAAATAACTTTCAACCTATGAAGATAATCGCTTGTAACTGCAAGTCCCACTCAAATTCCACTCCTTTAATTCATGTATTTATCTAACCTAAATTTGTGGGTTGTGAACTATTAATCATAAATATAGAATAGGTCCTGCCCTCTATAATCTGCATTCTGGTCCATGATAGGTACCTAGACCCTCCGTCACCTGGACCAATGGACCTCATGCTAGACCGCACAGATCCTACTGCACAGAGGTACAACCTCTACAGACGAGGTTTCAAGTCTTGGATGAGGACGAACAAACTCCTCAGAAGGTAAGACCAGCAGTATCACCGTCCAGTGTGCATTGAATTTATCTTCTCATCTGCGTTGATACTGATAGAAGTCATTTTTTTCCAGAGTAAATATACTCTGACGTGGGTCTTAGGGATATGATAACCCTACCATGGGCCATCACATGCTCTTTCTGGTATTCACCTAACGCGGGTCGTCGTCTTATGATAATCCTTTGTGGCTAAGCAATCGACGGGTTTCCACCCATTTCATCACCATTATATATTAATATCTACATTTCTACATAGTATGTATTACAAACGAACGAATGTAATCGACAGTTTCTTTAAACTATGTTTACTTACAGATGAAAATCAAAATCTTGTACAGAGCCACTCGTAGTGATATCATAACCTGTGTTTATTTACAAGAACCTCCTCTATGTCAACCAGTTTTTATTTATAACGCCTTGTATATAACAAGAAATTATATTTATTATTAGTAGTAGTAGTAGTAGTATTATATTTACAGGGAAGTCTTACAACTGGGGAATGGGAGGTAATTAGGTATCCTAGTCCCAGAAATTACAAATCTTCTCTCCAACAAAAGTGACCTATACCCAGTGACTATCAGTTTCTCCAACAAAAGTAGTGAACAGGTTCATATGAAATCTCAGTGACCATTGTGTAGTCGATGTTAGTTTTTACTCATTTAACCAACAATGGCACCCTAGTCTCAGTGATTTCCAATCTTATCTCCAAAAACGTTGCTGTATAACCTTTGTGGTTTAGTGCTTCTTTCTGATTATAATAATAATCTCCAACAACGTCATTCAGATTCCTAGTAATCCTTTCTTTTCTCTCCAACCAAAGGCTCTTCTCAGATGTTCCATCTGGGTTCTTTCTGGAGGCTGGAGCACTCGATGGAGAATTCATCTCCAACACTCTCTACCTGGAGCGTGAGCTAGGATGGACGGGGATCCTGGTGGAAGCGGATTCAACTCTCTATGCTGCCATAGCAGGTTGGTTGCAATCCTCTCTCTCGTCACTATCAGCTTCAGGGAGCCGATACAACACTATTCTGAAACACCAGATAGTTGTAGCTTATACATCCCTTTATTCTAGGTAAATCACTACCCTTTATTTAATCATCAGGTTTGAAGGGCGAAACGTCAAAGATACATGCAGACAGAATAAGCTTTTATTTATTATTATTAAAATACTCTGATATTGGCAGGTAAACGCAGAAAGGTGTGGGTATCCCACTCTTGTGTATCCCCGGCATCTTATGCTCAAAAGATGACCTTCGAGGGATACCACGCTGAAGCCCACGCCAGCATTGAACAACGTCTACTGGTAATCATCATTATATTCATTGGGAAGCACCAAATCCGTAGGGGAACGGGAAGAGTAGCCTCGATCTCGTCGATCAACAGTCCCCTCATTAACGTCTCTTCTGGAAGATAGGAGAGGCTCATCTGTGATTTAACAGTGATCCAAGTGGCGGTGGTATTATGGTGAACCACAGCAGCAGTGACCACAGGTTTACCACTGCTGGATTTAGTGGTCTGAGTGTCACTCTTCTTGGGAGTGTTCCAGATACTGAATTATTTATATTCTACCCGCATACATTGCTTCAACTTGAGCACTCCTCACTTTGTGACAAAAACCTCTCTCTTAAAACCCAACCAAAGTGGTCAGGCTGCTTACTCTTTCTTACCCTTATCTTGTTGTTTATCCACGACCTTTTTCACTGCTCTATCCTACCCCAGTTTTACCCTTGGTCTTTTAGTCTAGTAAAACACATGATGTTGTTCCTGTCATGTGGTGGTCCAGTGATACGTTATCCACATTGTCTTCACACACACACACACACACACACACACACACACACACACAACACACCACACACACACACACACACACACACACACACACACACACACACACACACACGCTAATGCGGAGAATTCAAGTGGATGAGGATCAGGTAGGACTACAAAGGGATCTGGACAGGCTGCAAGCCTGGTCCAACAATTGGCTCCTGGAATTTAACCCCACCAAGAACAAAATCATTAAGATTGAGGAAAGTCGAAGAAGACCACACAGACTACAGGCTAGGGGGCCTAAGGCTGCAAATCTCACTCAAGGCAAAGGATCTTGGGGTGAGCATAATAACGAGCACATCTCCTGAGGCACACGTCAACCAAATGACTGCTACAGCATATGGGCGCCTGGCAAACCTAAGAATAGCGTTTCGACACCTCAGTAAGGAATCTTTCAAGAATATGTACACCGTGTACGCCAGGCCCATACTGGAGTATGCAGCGTTACGTAAGACCCATATTGAAGTATGCAGCACCAGTATGGAACCCACACCTGGTCAAGCACGTTAAGAAATTAGAGAAAGTGCAAAGGCTTGCAACAAGACTAGTCCCGGAGCTAAGAGGAATGTCCTACGAGGAGAGATTAAGGGAAATCGACCTGACGACACTGGAGGACAGGAGGGATTGGGGGGGATATGATAACGACATACAAAATACCGAGAGGAATTGATGAGGTGGATAGGGACAGGATGTTTCAAAGATGTGACACAGCAACAAGGGGTCACAACTGGAACTTGAAGACTCAGATGTGTTGTCAGGAAGTAAAACAGTCTGGAGTGTGATGTAGTGGAGGCAGGATCCATACATAGCCACGAGTACATTGAGAGACAACACAATAAGTGCCTCCCAGAATACATAAGGGGGATTACCAATAGACCCCTATTTGTCTTCAAGGAGGCACTGGACAGGCACCTAAAGTCAGTCCCTCACCAACCGGGCTGTGGTTCGTACGTCACGCATGCGGCCCAGTAAAAGCCGGTTTGCAGACCCTGATCCACCATGAGGCCTGGTTCTTATTATTATTATAATCAAAAAAAAAGCGCAAGCCAAAGGGCATACAGCACACAGCCTGTTCAGACCGGGGCCGGGGGAACGTTGACCCCCAAAACCCCTTCAGGAAAGCCCCAGGTAGCTTTAAAAAGAGGTTGATAAAGCTCATGAGCACGGAAGGGACCTAGTAGAGCCCAGTGAAGAGGGGGGGCCCGGGAGCTGATTCGCCCCTCAACCCAATTAGGTAGTACAAGTACGACGTAAATAAAAAAAATATATGGGAAAAAGAGAAAATCATGTTTTTACTGAAGAACTTTTTGCTCTCCCCTGAGCAAAATACCCGAGAAAATGTTCTTTAAAAAGGTTTTTTGCATACCAAATGTGATCCAGGTGACCTTCAGGGCCCAGCAAGGGCGAGGTGGGTACCCCATTCTTCAGGGGGGAGCTCAGAGGGGGGTCGCCAGATTCCATTATTTCTAAATACATTCATTGAGAGGGCCTAAATTCCCGGGGGATGAAGATCTTTGGGGGGTAAAGGGTTACAACTCGATCTCAAAAAAGCGGGAAAGGGAGCCCGTTCCTTTAATCAAAATACCTCCACTGGCCTGAAGGTGGTCCACCCTGCAGGGTGTGGGCAGCAAAGTGCACAACACAGAAGCACTGCGTCTCAAAACTGTCGTGGGAGACGCCTCCAGCACCAACTTGCCATAAAGATTTTGAATTGTTTTTTCCCCTTCTATTTATTATTTTCTGCCACATGCGCAGTTTCCCGTCAAGGCAGAGTGACTCAAAGAAAGAACACTTACTCGCCATCACTCGTTTCCTTGCTGCCTTTCTAGGGCATAGACAGCATAATCTAATATTAGCCTTGTGCAGCCATTCTTCTCAGCTTCAGAAGTCAGTCTTGCTAACTGGTTTTACTGAATTCCTTCGTGTTTATGATTTTATTCAAGCTGGTGTGTGTGTGTGTGTGTGTGTGTGTGTGTGTGTGTGTGTGTGTGTGTGTGTGTGTACTCACCTAGTTACTCACCTAGTTGAGGTTGCGGGGGTCGAGTCCGAGCTCCTGGCCCCGCCTCTTCACTGATCGCTACTAGGTCACTCTCCCTGAGCCGTGAGCTTATCATACCTCTGCTTAAAGCTATGTATGGATCCTGCCTCCACTACATCGCTTCCCAAACTATTCCACATACTGACTACTCTGTGGCTGAAGAAATACTCCTAACTCCCTGTGATTCATCTGTGTCTTCAACTTCCAACTGTTGTCCCCTTGTTACTGTGTCCAATCTCTGGAACATCCTGTCTTTGTCCACCTTGTCAATTCCTCTCAGTATTTTGTATGTCGTTATCATGTCCCCCCTATCTCTCCTGTCCTCCAGTGTCGTCAGGTTGATTTCCCTTAACCTCTCCTCGTAGGACATACCTCTTAGCTCTGGGACTAGTCTTGTTGCAAACCTTTGCACTTTCTCTAGTTTCTTCACGTGCTTGGCTAGGTGTGGGTTCCAAACTGGTGCCGCATACTCCAATATGGGCCTAACGTACACGGTGTACAGGGTCCTGAATGATTCCTTATTAAGATGTCGGAATGCTGTTCTGAGGTTTGCCAGGCGCCCATATGCTGCAGCAGTTATTTGGTTGATGTGCGCTTCAGGAGATGTGCCTGGTGTTATACTCACCCAAGATCTTTTCCTTGAGTGAGGTTTGTAGTCTCTGGCCCCCTAGACTGTACTCCGTCTGCGGCCTTCTTTGCCCTTCCCCAATCTTCATGACTTTGCACTTGGTGGGATTGAACTCCAGGAGCCAATTGCTGGACCAGGTCTGCAGCCTGTCCAGATCCCTTTGTAGTTCTGCCTGGTCTTCGATCGAGTGAATTCTTCTCATCAACTTCACGTCATCTGCAAACAGGGACACCTCAGAGTCTATTCCTTCCGTCATGTCGTTCACAAATACCAGAAACAGCATTGGTCCTACGACTGACCCCTGCGGGACCCCGCTGGTCACAGGTGCCCACTCTGACACCTCGCCACGTACCATGACTCGCTGCTGTCTTCCTGACAAGTATTCCTGATCCATTGTAGTGCCTTCCCTGTTATCCCTGCTTGGTCCTCCAGTTTTTGCACCAATCTCTTGTGTGGAACTGTGTCAAATGCCTTCTTACAGTCCAAGAAAATGCAATCCACCCACCCCTCTCTCTCTTGTCTTACTGCTGTCACCATGTCATAGAACTCCAGTAGGTTTGTGACACAGGATTTCCCGTCCCTGAAACCATGTTGGCTGCTGTTGATGAGATCGTTCCTTTCTAGGTGTTCCACCACTCTTCTGATAATCTTCTCCATGATT